CAATATCTTATTGGCGATTATTAAATTTACGCGATGACTGTTATTTAATTCACGATTACGAAGAATCAGTGTACACGCGTATGTATTGCGAGCAATCGAAAGGCTTATGAATTATTATTCAGAAGCTATCGATTCAAGTTAAACAGTAACGCGAGTGATATTCTAAACTTCAAATAATAGGTTTTTAATTATACAGATAAAATTATGCCAACTCCAAAAATATGAACAAACAATCGTCCGTGAATTGTAAGTGGTATACAACACGGTATACTTGATGCGATAAGATACTATATATACCTCTTTCGCAATTTTTATAGAACCGCGGAATACCGAACGTGATATTTTCAGATTTTTCGTTTGTTTTTTTGGGCGAATTTTTAGGGCGACGTGAGATGGATGGAAAGCTTTCCGTACTCTTCATCAAACCGACAATAGTCGATATGGTTTGATGTTGACATTTCTGTATCCACGAGCTGGAACGGCGATAGCTACAACAAGCGGCTCCGGTATTCCCGGTAACCTTGCGCCCCACGTTAGACCACGTTTCTTCCTCCCCCGAGCTATCGAGCTCTGATCCCGTTGCATTCTCAGCGCATACCGCGCTCTCGCTCTTCCTCTCTTCTTGATCCGCTCGTAGCGCCGAAATCTCCGCGCAGATAAGCGCTGACACGGACAATGGGGACACGCGTCGGTGGCACCGGGTCTTCCTCACGGGCGAGCACGACAATGTGCAATCTAGTTAATGGAATTGCAGGGGAAACGGAACCGGCACCGTGCAACGCGCCCGGGCCCGAATGGCCGAGTAAAAAAGCAGCAGCGAGAAAGGTGCATCGACACGGAGATTGGCACATTCCCGGTCGCCGGTGTTCCTGCGACGAGAACACGTACCGCGCTGTTCCTCTGATCACGATGAGCTACGGGCGTAATGTACGAGAGCCCGGGATCAAGAGGAACCTTTGCTGTCCCTGTACCATGCGCTTCATTTGTGCGATAGCCCGAAACGGACTCGCGTTGGATTCTAAGCGAGAACCCTTCAAATTAGCCATCACTGACGTTTCCTAAATTGCGAATCTCTCGAGGTGCGATTCCTTTTTAAAAAGGATAGACGTTTTGTTGAAAGGCTTTAGCACATTACTGTTGCGACGGCTTCTTGTGAATTTATGAATTATTCATTAGAAATCGCTTAATCAATTGACAGGTCAAAAATGCTCACAATACCTATTGGGTCAAGAAGACTTATGTGCACGTAATGTAAGTTTCAAAAAAGTACAGTTCTACAAAGAGTTGATTTTTTTATGTACAACTCTTTTATACATTTAGCTGTTACCTCATCGTTGCTATATATTTACTTATAGCTTTGAGCCTGATAAATAACAGTATTTTTCCGATCTATATAATTTAAGGAAAGTAAGACTTTTTTGTACGTAAAATGAATGTTAAAAGCATTTGTTAAGCCATGTATCTGATGCATCTGTTCTATCTCTTCCAATTCTGCTCAGTTCATGCGGAAAAACACCCGTAGCTGTAGAGATTAGAGAGTACCTCGCGTGTGTTCTTGCGTTCCGTATTTCGCATTATTCGCGTACATTCGCGCACATGCAGAAACATTTCCAGGCTGCATTTCCAAAACGCACGGTCCTAGATTACTCCCGATACGTAGACAAAATGCGGAATCTACGGCGGTAATCAGAATTAATATTTTTCGTAAAATAGCAATTCCTTGCATCTAAAATTCTTTTTTCATGAAACTCGCACGCGATATGGATCGATCTCAAGTTATCCTTTCTTCTCTTTGAAAACATGTAGATTATTTCTGAGTTGCGGCAAATCTGTCGTTTGTTACTATCGCGGTTATTATTGTTCCACCGATAAAGATATCGAAAATGTCGCCTGTATCAGTTAGAATGACAGATTGTTCAACCCATCTGGGATTGATGTTTTCGTCGTGCTTACCTGACCGGCCCGTCTCCCCTGATGGATAATCTACGGAGTCCGCGGTATCATGCTAGGCACGCACGAATTTATCGCGTCGCCCTCGTGAATTTTTGTCACCGCGATTTGGATATTATGATACCGCGGACTCGCGCGACCGCCGAGGAAACGCGTACGAAGCACTCGCGTATTTCCATATCACATATTCATTACGTAAATTTATGACGCACACAATTGCAAAACGCCATTCGTAGCCGGAGCTCCGCAATAATCAATCCATTATAGATGCATAAAACGGATGTTTGTCAGGGGATACGATCGCGCGTCGCCCGGCGCGCGGCGGCGGTACGAATCGTGTCTCGCATATATTTTTTTCCCGGCTCGATATACATAGCTTCGGCCACCGGTAGCGATATCAGAGAAGCTATAGCCCCGTGTCAAAATTCGTATGGAATTTTAACGCCGTCGACACTTTTATAGGAGCGATGGCGCGCGATTTAGCATTTGGCGATGAAAAAATCCCGGATAGAATTTCTGGCGCAGTTTGACCTCTCGATACTTCTTGGGGACTATGCAGCTATTATGTATTATTTATACAACACATAGCTTTGAACAAATCGATAGATATTTAAAAAAGAATTAATGGCGGCGTCTTCCGTAACAATTAGAAAATCAATTACCTTCGTAACATTAGAGAAAAACGATTTTCTAACTTATCACGAGACGCCGAGAGCATGCGCTATCTTACTCCCTGGTATGGACCGAGACCGCGTCCTGTGAAAGCTGTGGCGTCTGAATTTGTCGTGCGGCTGGTAATCCATTAATCCACGAAATTGTATACGCGTGTGTAGAGATATATAGCGTTACACGAATATCAATCAACGGTCATATATGGTAACACGAAATTCGCGAATTAATTGCTGTCAAAGAATCATGTATCGCTCACCATGCGCGATTCATCATCAAAAGCGAAACAAAATATTTTTTGCCCTTACGATACAATGTAAAATTCTTGTGTGTTTAAACAAGGGATGGATTTAACGTTAATGTTAAAATAATCATGAACTTTATACGCCAAACACGATCAGTGTTAATTTGTGAAAATAGAAATAATTTTTGGACCTTGTATTTTATGGAAAGGAAAAAGATCAGCTGTAACTGATTAAAAAAAATCTTTCTAAAAGTCCTAGGAAAGGTATACGTTTAAGTAGCGAGACAGAACGTTTATGCCGACATAATTTTCGAGACATACAACCTGGTTGATTCTCAACTGTTTGAAAGAAGGCTAACAAAACGATCGCAGCACGTTGAAGAGAGTACACACACAGAGAGAGAGAGAGAATTTTCTCTTAAAATTTATCCTGAAAATCATGTAATCGTGGGACAACATGGCATTTTGAAGAATTTGATGAGAGTTTTTGAAACTTTACCATACATTCTGCTAGTAAAATGTGTACTAACAATATAATTACTAGTAAAATGTATGGTAAAATTCCCAAAAAAAACCGTCACAAAGTTGTTCAAAACGCCATGCCGTCCCACGACCGCATGACCCCCAGGGCAAATTCCAAAAGAAGACCCTCTCCATGTACACATATTCGTCGTTACATCGTCGGGGAGAAATTATAATTAACAATTTCGTTGCGTAGAACGGCGGCGCCAAGGACGGCTATGACATGAACCTCGGCCCGGCCTGGCAGAAGGGCTACACCGGCAAGGGTGTCGTCGTTTCGATTCTGGACGACGGCATCCAGACCAACCATCCCGATCTCGCGTTCAACTACGATCACCAGGCCAGCACGGATATCAACGACAACGACGACGACCCGATGCCGAGGGACAACGGCGACAACAAGCACGGCACGCGATGCGCCGGCGAAGTCGCCGCCGTCGCCTTCAACCAGTACTGCGGCGTCGGGGTCGCTTATAACGCCAGTATCGGAGGTAAGGTCACTCGCGAGATCGAAAGAATGTGGCCAAGTATAGCACGCAATCGCGGAAACTAATTATGAAAGAGAAATAATGAGATAGTACGTCCGAGACGATTTTGAAAATATAATTTAATATGTGGAAGAAAGTTTATATCGAATTAAATAAATGGCAATCTCCAAGAGATTAAATATCAGTCGGTCGTATTCGTAGCTTAAACGATTATCGATATTAAAACCGCCACGGGATATTTAGAAAATGTTTTTTTAGTATCAAAATGGGGCCGGCTATAATACTTTGAAGAAATGCTACCTAAGATTTATAAATGAAAGATGATCACTTTCAACATTTCTAATGCGCTTTAATTCGGATATGTAGCAATTAGTGTTCTAATTCCGATTGTTAATTTTCTAATGATCCCTTTATCCGTAATAATATAATCTCGGAAGAGGAAATGGATTATTGATAGGATTATTTAATGCGGGCAATGCGTGTAATTTTCTATTCATAAACAAGCAGCTTATAAAATATCGATTTTTAAAGATTTAAATTTGTCGCCCGCGTTTGATAAATTATGCCGTCAGAGTTAAACAAAAATTGAATTATCATCTTAAATTTATAGCCTGTATATTTTGCAGATAACACGAAAATTGAATGACGTGCACGTGATGTATACATATATGACGCGTATATGGCAGGGATCAATATTTCCTTTTCCTTATACTCCTGCGTTTGGTAAACTGGAAATTGGTAGAGCCATTTTATGTTCTGACGGATTTTGTTGAAATTTGAAATAGGTTGTTACTCAGGTGTGTTAGTATTTCAGATAATGAAAGTGCGCTTATCTCAACTCGCGCGTACAAACGTTAACGATGCATTGGCTCGCCCGGGCACAGAGGCACACTAAAATCTTTCGTCCATTTAATACTCAAACTAACGAGGAGCCCGATGTCCCTTCGATTCTGTTTTAATCTTGGCATATTTAGCTTCATTGTTTAACGTCCAGGCAAGCCGCAGGGCGCGTTCGGCTATTCACTCCCGACGCTAATTACGGAAAGAAGCGCAGGATCGAGAGAATATCTTCCGCAAAAAGATTATTGGAAATTTATACGCGCGATACGTTAATCGTCGCCGGGGAAGATTGACGCTAATTACGAGCTCGCAGTCCATTCGAGCTGCCGTCAATCTTCGCGTCCGCGAAAGCGCTTTTCGTCGATGCGCCGGTAATCGCTTAATGCGCGATTTAAGGAACGGGCTTTCGCTGCTCGTTGTCTCGAAGACGGTGTTTATCTTTTCTTATGCCGAGTGAGCGAATCCCCTTGAGATCGTTCCAGAGCGCTGACTTAGCCGGCGAATAGCTCCGCGGAAATAAATAGTGCAGCGACCGCTGGGAATGTCAGGTCTGGTGGTGGTCGCTTTATCGTCTCGACCCGCTGAAGAATAGGCCAGGTTTTCCGGGCGCTCGCCGCTATTCCCGGCTCGATGCTATCGAGCTGTATTAATTCCGTTAACCCATTTCGAAGCGAAACGAACGTCCGTAAGCCGTCGGGGCTTACGACGAGTGGAACACAGAGCGGGGCCGAAATGATAGCGCGGAGCGATACAGCGGCGTTAACCGGATATTGAATTCGAGGAATTGATGATCGTGCAAGCACGCTGCGCAGCGAAATTAGAAATTTCGATGTAGCGGCGACGAGAAATTTCGCTACAATCGCGGTGGTTTCCGCGATAACGCCGCTGGGGCGAGTGTCGTGGTTGCAATTAACTATCGTTTGCCTACGAGACACTTTTACGCGGGGATCAAAACGTGATGGAATTCCTCGCGATAGAAATGTTAAATTTCTCGGTTATTTTCAACCAACGGTTTCACCTAATACAATTTCTGATATCGATGAATCTGATTTCGAGTGCTTGTTAAATGATACTAACTTGATTTTCTTGGTGTTTACTAAAATATTCTTTTACGGGATAAAATTGAACCGAGTCTCTGACCAGAAACTCGTACTATTCCAGCCTCAGCTTTAATATATTATTGTGTCAGTAACCAAATAATAATTACACTTGAAAATAGAACGAACAGGATAATCTAAATATATTAGTACAAGTCAATTTATGGCCTCCAGCAAATGACTTTACAAATGTCTAATTATGCAAATTTTAAGTAGCTGCAGAATGTATAAACGAACAACGAAGAGTCGAAGAACCGGAGAAGCGGAAGATTAATTAAAATTACCCGATTATATTTCTGCAAATATTTCTATCGTGAAAGTCATTTGCATAAAGCCATTCGTATAAATTTCATAAAAATTGTGTGGAATGAGAAAAAGAATTGAATCTAATTGCCCGACCGCGCTTTCTCTTACTCTCAACTCCCGTTGCTCGTCCGGCTGTCCTTAGAATCGATATTAACAATTCCACGCGCGACAATCGCTGAGATAAAATCACAGCATACGCGAGAAAGGGGGAAGGAAGACATGCTCACGCACATATCTCCCGTGTTCTCAGGCGTGCGAATGCTCGATGGCCCGGTAAACGACGCCGTCGAGGCCAGAGCTCTGGGATTGAATCCTGATCACATCGACATATACAGCGCCTCCTGGGGTCCCGAGGACGACGGCAAGACTGTCGACGGCCCGGGTCCTCTCGCCAGAAGGGCGTTTATTTACGGAGTGACGAGCGTAAGCTACATATGTCGCGTACTTTCTACGCGCGTCCGCGAGGCGAAAGGATCGATTTATTTTCCGTCGCGAAAGCTTTCCCTCCCCCCCACAACGTTTTATTTTGTTACCTCGGAAAGATTTCAAAGCTTTTTGCAATGTCAGTTGACGTCGCGCTGATGAACTCGAAATATAAAAGTTATTGAATTACGAACGATTTATGTTACCTATATTTTTATCGCAATGCAATTTGCGTATCGAACTAATAGCTCGAATATCATCTTGTACGAAATGTCAATATTTGCAGAGAATTGTGAAGAAAAATTCAAACTTTTTATTGAAATTGGTTTAGTTACGCGTCAAATTATTTTCTCGGTAAAAAATAGTGTAAGCTTGCATCGAAAAATAATTTGTTTAACAACGGTGTGAATTTTTTTTAATCAAAAACTCCGTTTCCCGTAAGTCTTTCGCAAATTAAATGATAGTGCGCATGTTTTTGAGATAATCTTTCACGCACAATATTTGTCAAAATAACTCAGTTTTTAATTTTTCGAGAAATGCTAATTGAAATAACATGATTACAATAATGTCTCGCGCGCAAAATTTATATTCGATTTTATTTGGTAAACGCAAGCATGTTTGTTTTAACTATGAAGCTTAATGAAGAAAATTTTTGTATTATCTTCTTTTCGTAGCTCAAAAGGATTATATTAGTTTTCTAATACAATTTTTATAATTTCAAAGTTATATCGTTATCACTTATCGTTTATTAATTATATTATAAGTTTTGTGTTATTTTACAAAACCACCACATGCGCATCCTATCGCCTCGTCGGCCGATTCATCTTTCCTGTCGCGAATATTCGCGGTACCTTTGTTTCTTCCCATACAGGGTCGAAAGGGTAAGGGCTCGATCTTCGTGTGGGCGTCCGGTAACGGCGGTCGACACACCGACTCGTGCAACTGCGACGGCTACACGAACAGCATCTTCACGCTGTCGATATCGAGCGCGACACAGGGCGGCTACAAGCCGTGGTATCTCGAGGAGTGTAGCTCGACTTTGGCGTCCACGTACTCGTCGGGGACCCCCGGCAACGATAAGAGCGTGGCTACCGTGGACATGGATGCCAAGCTGCGTCCCGATCACATCTGCACGGTGGAGCACACCGGAACATCTGCCTCGGCGCCTTTAGCCGCCGGCATTGCCGCCCTCGCCCTAGAGGCAAATCCCACGCTAACGTGGCGGGACATGCAGTACCTGGTGGTGCTCACCTCGAGGTCCGAGCCGTTGAGCAACGAGCCCGGCTGGATACTGAACGGCGTGAAGAGAAAGGTCTCCCACAAGTTCGGCTACGGCCTGATGGACGCGGGTGCCATGGTCAACCTGGCCGAACAATGGACCAACGTGCCGCCCCAGCACATCTGCAAGTCTGACGAAATCAACGAGGAGAGACCGATTGATCCCACGTACGGATACACCATGAGCGCGTACATGGATGCCACCGGATGCGCTGGCTCTTTGAACGAGGTGCGGTTCTTGGAGCATGTGCAGTGTAAGGTAAGATCGCACGTCGAAAAAACACGTCGCCACTTTACTAAATTAATTTCACCAATTATCATGTAATTTCACAGTAGTCGATTATTACTTCAGCAGTTGTAACTTAGGGATTGCTGCCTCGTGATTAGGCTTCGAGTTATTACAATTTTCTTCATATTGTGAAAAAATATGCCGATTTAAGGATTAAAAGATCGCAGCGTGCTATATGCCTGCTGGTTTCGTCAATTTGACATTGTAAAATTCGCATTCTCTATCGCGAAATAGGTTTCCCTGAGGTTCTTCCCTCGCGGAAACTTGAGAATCTTACTGACCTCGCCGATGGGCACGACTTCAACGTTATTATTCGAGCGGCCGCGCGACGTTCTCAGCTCCAACTTCGACGACTGGCCCTTCCTCAGCGTACACTTCTGGGGCGAAAAGGCTGACGGTCGGTGGACACTGCAGATCATTAATGCTGGGAATCGACATGTCAATTCACCAGGCAAGTCTTTTCCAGCGTTATTTCCCAGCCAATTTAGTAAATTATACGACTTGTAGTTGCGCCAGGAAGACCCATTTGCTCCTAATTGCAGCATAGAATTTTTGCGTTGTACATTCAATCATTCTTGTTGAATGTATCCATCTCAATCGATATCTTCACTGCTTAAATCTATTGGTATCATTTTTATTTTTGAGATCGTAAACTACAGCAGGGAATAGATTGCAGTTGTAATTTTTGTCGAAATAATTTCACGTTGAAAACTCGTTTGAAACGATTAAAAATTATCTTCGCGTACGATTTCAAGAGTCTTCCTCGATCCGTGCATCGCATGAGGATCGTCCCGCCATAATTTGGTCCTCTCGCTACGTTGTTACAGGTATCCTGAAGAAGTGGCAGCTGATCTTCTACGGCACATCGACGAACCCGATCCGGATACGCACGCGGCAATTTAACCCGGTACATTCTTCGGCGTACCTTCCCTCCCATTCCGTGCATTACCCATTCACGGTAGACGATGATCCGCTACAATTGTCCGGTTATCCGGGCAACAGGGACTTCTTTTCTCCGTCTACCTTTCAGAGTTACCAGGGCCCGTACGCTGGCGCCGCGTCGAACCTGCAGGCATCCGTGGCCACCTTGGACGGCTCGTCGGCGCCGATCCTGTCGAATCACCTGCCCGGCGACGTCTCATCGGCGTCCGCCTTCGACTCACCCTCTGCGGCGTCGTCCGTGCAAGCGGATGGCTCGCTCGACACCACCAGGAGGATACTGCACGACTGCGATCCTCAATGCGACGCGCAAGGTTGCTACGGCAAAGGCCCGACGCAGTGTGTCGCTTGTAAAAATTATCGTCTCGATAAGTGAGTAAACCGACACAGAGCTTTTGATCAGGACGAAACGATTGTTAAGAAATGTTTTTAGAGCATGACTTTCAAAACATTTTTGTTGATTTTTTAATGAAATTAGAATATGCATTGGAAAAATATTTTATAAAAATTAAGGATTTTACATGTTTTATATTTTAATACAGCTATGTGACTGTCAAATACTGGTACTAATATGTTTAATTAAATTAATGAAATTTTGCTACGCCACGACACTACGAATTATAACGGTAGGAATATCTGAGCATAAAACTATTTGCTCTATTTGAAAAAGCAAATATTAATCATTATATATGTCGGGCGAGCTATTTTATGTTTTAATTATAATTTTTCCAGCGTTAAACAAAATTTTTTAAAATTAATTTAATCTTTTATTAAATATTTTTTTACCGTATTTATAATTTACTTTCTATTTTCGCACAAGAGCCCCAAAGAATTCGTCAATTTTCAATTTATACTTTGCCTCTTCAACGACCCTCGTCAATGAAAAAGCGCTTTAGAAACAACGCGAGGGGTTTCTTATCTCTTTTTCAGCACTTGTGTCAGTCGCTGTCCGCCAAGGAGCTTCCCGAACCAGGGCGGCGTTTGCTGGCCGTGTCACGAATCCTGCGAAATTTGCGCGGGTGCGGGTCAGGACTCCTGTCTCTCGTGTGCTCCCGCTCATCTTCGGGTCACTGATCTGGCGGTCTGCCTCCAGCAATGCCCGGAAGGCTACTACGAAAGTACGTGGGGGAGAAACGATTCATTCGTATTTTCTTCTTTAAATTCGGATCCCTTATTTTTTTTCTCTCTCCTTAAAATCGACATCGAGTAACGGCAACGCGCGATTTTTGCATCTTTCCCGGTGCAGATACCGAGAACAGCACGTGCGTGCCATGCGAGGCCAACTGCGCCAGCTGTCAGGACAGACCGGACAAGTGTACCAGCTGCGAGCATCATTTGGTGATGCACGAGAACAAATGTTACGCCGCGTGTCCACCGTACACGTACGAAACGCAAGATTACAATTGCGGGCCGTGTCATCCTACCTGCGAGACCTGTAACGGCACGGCGGATAATCAATGCATCGCCTGCCGATCTGGACTGTTTGCCTTGAACGGTGAGTATGGCGAATGTTAGCCGTTTAAGCAAACATGACGCAACGTAATGGTCTATAAAATATATCTTGCAATAGTACTCGATTAATTTATAGTAATCACTTTTTAGATAATTGAAAAAATATTCGACGTAGGTTGGAAATCTTTTAAATATCTTATATGAATGTATGGAGAATGTAGATTAACTTTAATCTCGGTTTAAATTACTACTTATCTTTGTCTAATTTGTAAAACTAGAAAAAAAATATTGAGTAAATTGAACCGAGATTAAAGTTAAACTGCGTTGGTACACGGAGAGAGTTGTCTCTTAAAATTTATCCTGAAAATCATGTAATCGTGGGACAACATGGCATTTTGAAAAAGTTTATGAGTTTTTTGAAACTTTACCATACATTTTACTAGCAAAATGTATACTAAGCATAATTACTGATAAAATATATGGTAAAATTTCAAAAGATTCTCATAAAGTTTCTCAAAATGCCATGTTGTTCCACGAATACATAATTTTCAGGGTAAATTTTAAGAGAAAATTCTCTCCGTGTAGAAACCGGGCATTGGACGTTATTTTGGGGGAAAAGTTAGCTTAATTGAATAACATCAAGTATCCGTAATTCTTAAGTGGAATAAATACCGGATTTGTTTTATATATGTGCATCAAGGCTTGCGTGAAAAGTTTCAAATTGCCGTACGTCCGATATACTCCTCGTCATATCGGGTGAAAGTGTTATAACGATAATTAGTTTTCACTAAACGATCTTCTACGGATGTGTCGCAGGCACGTGTCGCGCCTCGTGCCCGGCGGGCTATAGCGCCGACAAGAAGCGACGCGAATGCGTGGCATGTCCGCCCGGCTGTGCGACCTGCAGTTCGCTCAGCTGCACCAGCTGCATCGAGGGCTGGAGCCTGAACAAAAAGGGCCTGTGCGCGCCCGAGAGCCGCAGCCATTGCAACACGGGCCAGTATTACGAGGACGGCCAGTGCAAGGCCTGCCACTCGTCTTGCGAGACTTGCGCCGGCTCTACGGAGGATCACTGTATATCCTGCCCGAATCCGTTGCTCCTTCAGGGCAAACGCTGCGTGTCGCAATGCGACGATGCTTACTATTCAGTGGTGCAACCCTCGCGACCGGTTTGCGTCCCCTGCCTGCACACTTGTAGGAGCTGCGTCTCCCGTTTGAATTGTACAGCGTGTCAAGACGGCCTGCAGCTGCAGAGCGGAGAATGCAGGTCATCCTGTGCGCCAGGGTAAGATGAGTATATCCATAATAAATAGGGGTGTATCTTCGGGGAGGTAGGCACTAAGACGCGCCACTTATTAATTTTCGGCGAGAAAAATAACGGGCTAGGATGAGACTAGGATTCGAATCTGGAACCTTCCGCTTACCAGGCGAATGCTCTTCCAACTTAGCTGGCCCATGAGCAGTTAGCATTAGCTAAACAAACTGGTGAGAGAAACAGCATCGACTTTTCTTCTTTCGGTTTCAGTTATTACAGTGACAGAGGTCAATGTGCCAAATGTTACTTGTCGTGTAAAACGTGTTCGGGACCCAGAAGAGATCAGTGCGTTACTTGTCCGAGAGGCTGGCAGCTGGCGGCCGGCGAATGCCATCCCGAGTGTCCAGAAGGGTTCTTCAAGTCGAACTTCGGTTGCCAGAAATGTCATCATTATTGCCGCACGTGCAAAGGTGAGTTACGATCGGATGGTTGCTGTCGATCGATCAAATCTGCGTTTCTTACTTCAACGTGAAAACATTTGTTTCAGGCGAAGGCCCGCTGGAATGCACCTCTTGTCCACCTCATTCGATGTTAGAAGGTGGACTATGCATGGAATGCTTAGGGGCGCAGTACTACGATTCCTTGACTCAGCTTTGCAAGAGTTGTCATTCTGATTGCCGCAGATGCACTGGTCCCGGCAAATTCAGCTGTGCCGCATGCTCGCCACCATTACATTTGGACAAATTGAACAATCAATGTGTTCCTTGTTGCACAGGTAACGAGAAGGGACCTCAGGCTGAGGAGTGCTGTCTCTGTGATCCAGAAACCGGTAATTTTTACGTCTTAATATTATAAACGTCTTATAATCACTCCACCAGAGAATTTTTCATAGGGAAATATATAATTTCTTTAAATATAGAATTTTTTTTGAACTCCAAATAGTTTATATTTGATTATCATAAATATCTTTATATGATTAGTCAGGATATTTTTTAAATATTTGCAGGCGGCTGCAGGAACAGCTCACCGGCTGGGAAAAGGAGGGTACCGGGGACAGAGTTCTCTGCTAACACCGCCATCTCTGAGACGTACAACAATAATGGCAGAATAAGTAACGATTCAGCTTCGCTCGCCGTAACAGCCGCCACAACCATGGCAGTTGCCATTTGCTTAGCATCGATTGCGTTGTTCGCAATGATATTCGTCGCTCTTCAGGTATGGCGACAAATGCAATTTTGACAAATACGAATTTAAGATAGCACTTTTAAATTGATGGTTGAAAATTTATGTAGCTCTCGAAAAATTACTTTGTGAAACCGAGGAAAGATAAAAATATGTGCATTATTTCCTTCACAGGCTTGGTCCGGCAGAAGAGAGACCAACATGGGATATACGCAGCTTGCCGTGAAGGTGGAACCGTCCGACGATGCGGACGCCGACGACTCGACAGAGCTGATGACTTAGACTTCGTTAACGCTGAACGTAACTGATGATCTTACGTCGCAGGGAGATCGACGAGTCTCGATTGCGATTGATTCGCGAGTCACAAGTTACGTATTTTCGCATTAGCGAGGTCCAAGGATAGCCTATATATGTGATGATAAGGCAAATAGGAGAATGGTGGTAAATACGTAGCGGGGAGGAAAGAGTTGAAGAAGGAGGAGGAGCAAGCAAAAGAAGATTCGTCGAAAACGTGATAGTAGAACTCCGTAGAGTGTCGTGTGAATGAACAGAATGAAAGAGGAAGAGCGCGAGAGCAAGCGTGACTGTTGTTTACATGGCCGTGGTGCGGTCGCGTGAATGTGCGAATGTACAAGGAACGTGTTTTAGCTAGAGATATACTTTTTGCCCGTAATTGTTGTCAAGTGCGTCGCCGATACCATCGTCGCGCACACCAAGACACTTCCGACACGGATAGCGATCCGAGATACGGAGTAAAAGGGTGAAGGACATTATGAAGTGCCTGATTAGTGACACCCTTGTTTTCACACCCTTTCGCGTTCCCCCTCCGACGCTTTCTGTCTTCTAGGTAACTCCAAGCCTTCGTCGATTATATATCATCGTCGTGTGTATCTGCGAGAAAATAGTATCTCAGCTAGACGACAGATAACACACAAATGCGTGCCGATCGTTGCGCGTTGCAAGAGTCGAGGGCGATCTAGTTCATTTAATTAGCATTCCTTAACTGTCCGTCGAGTTTTCCCTCGCGCAACATCCTTCCTGACGCGATCGACGACCGTCAAGTTATCGAAGGGACGAAAGTGCGTCTTTTTCTTCATCTCTCTTCTGGAAGGCTACCAACATCCCGTTAAGTAGGGTGAAGGGACATGTATGTAAAGTGGCCTCCGTACATTAGGCTGAACCACGGACCACGTAATCGTAATCGTTAATTGTGAATTATGAATGGATATTGTTATATATTTGTATAAATGATAATAGTAACAAGTGAGCGAACAAAGGGGAGTTAATCGCAAGGATCAGGAGGGGGAGGCGAAAGAAAGCGATGTAGCTAGATGACGAACCAGGATGGGGACGAGGCGAGAAGGACCGGATTGGGGGAAGAGAAGAGAGAAGATCATCGCGCGCGAGTGTAAGCTGCTTCGTTCTCCCACCTTGAACCTGATTGTCTCGGCTAGTCGACACACAATTCGCACGCCCGAAAGAACCAACGGACTCTTACTGCGATCGCCCAGTTATCCGACGCGTCTGTGACATCAGTCGTCACATTCCAGTACCTCCCAAGCTGACGTAACACAAGCCATTGACACAAGCAATGCGTTTTATAAACTGTTTGTTGTTATTACTTAATTGTCTACTCCGATGTTTTGTTTAATATCTCACTTTCCGCGTTGTTCTTACTTTATTTCTTTAATTCTCGCTCGTATCCATTTTTTCCCTGTTTCGTTGGGATCGCATGAGAGGAGGGAAGTCATTAAAAAACAAAAAAGAAAAAGGAAAACGGATGAATGAATAAAAAGGAAAAAAAAAGAATTGTACGCAACGATCCGTAGCGAATCGATATTCTCGAAAGCCATCGCCCACGCCTACTCGTGTGAATATTGACTTTCTCCTTGTGATTTGATATAAAGCTATTATTGTACTTTTATGATGACCGCGATTATAAATATATACATATATATACACACAACGTTGTACAGCGCTTTCTTGAGTATCCTTTATGCTTTACTTAGATTTCCCGATGTTCTACTTTCCCGTTATCGTCCTAGGTAAGTACAGCTACAATATTGACTTTAATTACGGTGATGCGCGGGAAAGGCAAACCGACCGTGGAAGTCGGGAACGAACGAGGTATAACCAACGGTAACCGAACTCCACGGCCATTACTTAATGAAACATCAAAGATTAACTTGAAATCTCGCAACCTGAATTTCTATGTACCGTATGCAGGAAAACCGAACAATTTTCGTTTACGAACAACACGCGCATCTGTATGCATTGTTACGAGATGTAAAAAGTGAAAAGTCTTCGCGACGCAATCACAGATTTCTTCTCACCATCGCACAAAGAAACCAGCAAGTCAATTCTAGCTGAAGTACAATAGCGACTATTGATTTATAAATGTTTATACGGAATTGATTAATTTCAAAAATTTCCAACAAATTTCTTCGATGAATCGCGTAAACAGATTTTTCTTAAAGACAATTATTGATTTTTGTATCGAAGTTAAAATTATCGAACTGCGAATGTTTCTGCTATTTCAAGTGTCACGTAAATCGCTTCATTCACATAATCGTCAATCCAGAATTCGCGTTAATGTCGAGTCTGTTTCACTCTACGACCACAGACGCCTGGTTTCCAATTGCGAGTAACTGCCGCGGGTAACATCGACCTCGTTGGACTCTATCGGGAATAAGAATCGCGAAATGGAGTTCTTAATTAGGATACGAGAACTGCTAAATCGCCGTGTCACGCGACGAGAGAAAACTGCGCACGTCAGCGGTGAGCTTGCGAGCTCTGTGAAAATTACGTTCGACCCCGATTGTCTTACTTCCCCTCCGACAACTAGGGGTTGAAGCTGTGAATGACGCGAGAATAAGTCGTCAGCGCTCACTGACGTTCTGTTTGTGCTCTTCGATTCTCTCATGTATATTACATCCAGAGTCTGATATAATGGGCGACGAGCGGCGACAGCTGCGGCGGGGTGGAAAAGGACGATCCGGAATTTCAATTTCGTTAAAGAGGAATATCGCTCTTTTGCCGGACAACCTTCATTCATTTTGATGCACAAACTCGTTTATTTCAGGAAAATCGCATAAAGGAGAATATACATAAGAAATATGAAGCCTTGATAAAAGATATCAAGCATTTTTTAATAAATTGGAATAAATTAAAGTTTAGATGGTGCAGCAAATTTTTATAAAAGAAAGTACCAGATATATTTTTCATTTTAATACCGTTTCTACCAAATATATTAATATTTCCCATGTGAAATTTCCGAGACAAATTAATATTTCTGCAAAACATGCTCAAGAAACAATGGAAGACTAAATTTGTTTAAACATTTACCTTAAAAAGCGTACAAGCAGTTTTTGCTTAATTTACTTTAATCCGCGAAAAGATGAGTAAAGTTTGGTTAAACCATCAAACGATATATTCAATTTATATTGGTAACCAAGATGAATTGATGGCCGATATAAGCAATAATGTGATACAATTCATGTAATTTAAGTTCTACGATACTTCGGGGAAGTTCTTAAACCTTGATTATAATTTTAATGAATTTTTTCCCTTTTGATCTTCGTTTCTCAATTATTGCCACATCTCTTTCGTGAAGTGTCACCGAGTAATTACTCTCGATCGCTTTTTACCAATGCTTTTATCTACAACGACTCCTCGACAATTTTTTGTAATTTCTCTATCAAAATGCTCCTCCATTTCCATTTTGTTTCTTTGAATTTGCCCTTTATGTCGCCATTTTTGTTCTCTTCCACGATATTTCTTCGACGAATTTTACTTTATTTTTATTCCATGTTTTTTCCCGCGGTCTGTCTCGTCTCATCTCTTCTCGGTGCGTCTCGGAGAGCCTTCACTTGATTCTCCTCCAACGAGTCTCTTCTTCGATGTTCTGTCTGCAGTAAATCTTTCGTGTCGCAATCGTTAGTCTCTCTTCGTGAAAATTTAATTTTTCGCTAATCATTTTATATCTCGGCTACTCTGTTTTTTCGTGGCACGTGCAAAAGACATTGCGTATAAAAGTGTCACGAAATGGTAATATAACCGACGCGATAAACACGGAATCGACAATGAGATCGATGCGGCTGATCTCTCGTGGCACGTTTAACTCGCGGCTTCCTTAACTATAATAGGTGTGAATTACATCACACGGCTGGTAGACAAGACACGCGTCTCAAGGTTGCCATTTGCTGGTCCCAACCGCGTCGTTGCGCACAAGTCGCGTCTAATTCGGCTTAATCGATAAGCTAAACGCTAGTCTTATGAGATATGCAAATGACTCATTTCATCAGTAAACGCGGCGAGAAATGAGGACAAACACTACACGATCTGCAAAATAGAATGGTTTTTATTGACGCGCCGAATCTCTCACGGGATGTAAATAATTTCGATGGAACATAATTTTACAGGTGATTTTACGAGTCTTTTACAAGTGACACGAAAATGTGCAGTTAAAACCTAAAATAACTTACGCAAAAGGAAATTTAAATAGGAGAGATTAAACCGGGAGGAAGATGGACTGTTGCAGAAGGAAGAAGGAACAAAGAAGAAACGTAGAAGTAAAATTAAGAAGAAACCTGTTTGCAGCGCAACGATTGCGCGCTCGTTATTGTTCTCCTTTCCTCTCAAGTGCGACGTCTCGCCGCGAGCTTCATCTTGATTCTATTTCAATATCTTCTCACGATCCTCTTTCTTTTGTTGCTTCTCTTTCTACTACGCTTCCACCTATCGTAATTATTCGTCGTTAAATATATCTTAGTTTTCCTATTTGCCTTATTCCATGTCGTGGTTCTTCTGTTTTCTCGGTTCTTTTTCATATCGCCGTCTCCTGATCTTTGTCATGAAGTTTCATCGACACACGAAGTTCGCTTTATTCTTTTTTCACTTTTCTGTTTACGGTCTTCCTTGTGGCCTTACTTTTTCCTCTGGTTTTCGTCGAGAGATCTTTCTTGATTCCTTTTTAACAAGGTTCCTTTTATGATCTTCATCTGTTGCTGTTCTTCCTATTCCTTTGAATTATTCGTTGACACGTACGTCACGATTTTTCCTCCGCGGTTATTATCGCCGGTGCTACTTTTTGTCCTTCTCATTTTTATTCGTTCGTTCGTTACCTGTTACCGTTTTATCTCGTTTTCCTCGATTTTCCTTCGACATATTTCCCCTTCTTCTTTTTCCACAATTTGTTTCTTCGCCCTTCCCGTCATTATTTTTACACATCTTTTATATCTTATCAACCTGTTCTTTCCGTTTCCTGCAGTTTTTTTTTCTTTAGCCTTTTATCTCTTATTCTACCAGTACTTCCATTTTATTTCTCTTTTACTCGAATTTAAATTATATCTTTCCATTTTCTGTTCTCAAGCTTTCTTTTATTTCTATTGCGTATACGAATAACAAAATAAGGGTGAGATAGTGGATAAGACAAATGCTACAAAAATAATAAGACATCTCTATTTTCGAGAACATTTCTCGTTAATTTAAATTGTTAATTACGATATTATATTTAAATTTAGAAAAGTCTTAACCACTGCCGCCATTAAACTAATACGAATATTTAGAAATGCGTATTAAAATGTAAATGTTTATCTCGTTATCCATATCTTCCAGTTCATCATAATTTAAATGGGCTGAAAGTATGAGTAAGCTTGTCTGGCTACAATTTCAGATATTGGACGGTACCTCGAGAAAACCAACTTTCATACTCGCCAACGTGAGCTCCTGAGGAAGCAGGTGAACAAATTTTAAAGTTGTGCGTACTTAAAGTTATGTGAGCATAACGTACAACACATTCTTCTTGCAATTCTTTTTTTTCAGTTTTCCTTCTTCAAAATACTTCTACGGTATATGTATTAAAAACTTTATAGTGTGTTCAATTCGATCGACTCGATGTTATTTTAATCTCATATCAAACGCGTATCAAGTGAGAAATTAAAAAATGATGACATGCGAGAGAAATCCGAAAAAGGTATGGACTTGCTATGAGGATTCGTATTTTTGTTTAATACAATTATAATCATATCGATGCCTGAGTATATCTGTTATATATAATTTTCACAGATTCGTTACCTTATTAATAAAGTTTTTCGTCACTCACCGAACGATGCGCAACGGCGGAGTTATCAGTCGTGTTGCTACGATGATTCTGTAACAATCAAACATAAAATCTGAATTAAAATAGCGCTCAAAATAATCGATGATCACGAAAGATAATTATTACAAGTATAGACATTTTTTAAATATCTCTATTCATATAATTATATATTTGAAAAAGCTTTAAAAATGATCTTTTACGTATATGTATATAAAATATGTACAGTTTTAATTTTTTTTCTAGCCATTATTTCTAAAACTATTGAAACAAATCGATCCGAAATGAAAAGAAGTTAATTTTATACAAATATGCAATTATGCTTACCGCAAAGTTGCTCCACCGACGCATGATGCCTCTCTTAGGCCTCCTTTTCCTCCTCTCAAGTCGTCAGAAAGTCTTCTCTTAACTTGCACCCGCATCGCTGCGCAACAGCAGAATTTATAATCCACGTAACACTGATCTGTAACACATACAAATATATTAAAGAAAAGTTTTGCGACATGCACACATTGTTTAATTTCTAATTTCGACAAACGGGACATGTCTTAGTGAAAATGTTTTCTCAGATATCAATTCATATAAAATTCGAAAATCCCATCTTGATGCAAATCAAATTATTATAAATGTTAAGCATTTGAAAAAATATTTTATATGTATAATTTATTAATATTACGAACGTGTAAATATTTCATTTATTAAATATATTACATGCTATTATGTTACACAGCGATGTAAAAAAATAGCGTTGCATAAATTACTTCCATCAGTGGATAATAAATAATAATAAAAAGATTACAAAATGTTCACCTTGCACGATCTTCATCGGCCGCCTCCCTGCCCCCTCCCCCCTCTCTCTTCTTTCCC